TTTTTCTACCTCTCTTTCTTTTCACACCACGCACAATGTAATGATAAAAATTAGGAAAAAACGCTGAGGAAATATAATGTTTGGTTTGCTAGCGAGCGAGAACTGATTTGAGAATAATTGCACATGCGCGTGATGAATGAACTATGACCCGTACAATCTCGATTTGCATATTGTCAATCAAAGGTCCTGTTATTTGCTTACTCGTGCGAATTAGGCAATTTGTTTTTTATTGTTATCCAATCCAAATAACCAACAATTTTAACGGTGTTCCAATAAGAATTCATTGGTAAAATTTTCACAGAATGTTCTTTAGATAAAAATCTATATTAAAAAACGAAAAAAACTATTTTTGATTGAAATTCACAAATAAACTGCATCTCTACATTAATGTAGAATCCAAATTTGAAATTAAATCATAGATCGGGTTACTACTTTTTGAATTATAATTACTTAACTTTTTTTTTAATTTTTGCGATTGCTTTTTACTAGTCCAATATTATACCCTATTTGTTTTCAGAATACAGTTCCCGATAAAAGAAGTTTTATATTGATATATATTTTATCGAAATCTGTATTCTGGAAACAAATTTAGAATAGAACTATTTGTTAGTGAACTATGATTATTATGTGGCTTATTATCAGTTTATAAGCATATACAAGACAATTGTGAACGTATGTACAGTGCTTGTTAAATGTTCCGTGATCCTTTTACATACCTACAATATACCTGCTCAACACTTTATATAATATAGATTAGTTATTGATGTGTTATTAAGATAAAAGGTTTTATAAATTCAAAATTTAAACGGAATTACAAAATGATGATAGTATCATTAAAAAAGTCAGAGAATGGTTCAATCGTAATTTGCGTAATGGGACAAAACAGTGAAACAATTATCTTTAATAATATATATTACCTATATTATTATTTTATTGATTTTGGTATTTTAAGTATGCCGTAATATTTTCCAATGTTTAACAAGTATGAAAACAATTAACAAGCTGTGGTTAACCTAACATTAATTTGTATATTATATTCGCAGAAGCACAACAGGTTATTTGATTAATTAATCAACACAACTAGACGACATCTAAGCCGCTGAGATCTCTTAAATAATAAAAATAGATTTCATTACATGCATCAGAAAGCGCAACGCTTTTCCAATTGTTGCATAATAATAAGGCTACTAAGACGTGTAACCTACTGTGATGAGCTGTACTGCGCAATGGACCACACTACCTGTAAGTACCTTCTTTTAAAATTCGGTGCGAATAATGGTAACTTTGGCACGAACATCTTTTTACATGAGTTGGTACATAGGAATGCACAAATGGCAGTTTTTATTTGTTTCCTATGTTTGGCAATAGAATTAGATAAATTTGCATTAATGAATCTGGTTTAGTATGTGACGCATCGATGTAGGAGAGTGCGTAGTGCAACAAGTGCAATCATAAACACCAAAAACGTAAATAAAGGCAATAGTCACACCACCCAGGCGTACCATGATGAGTACTACAATGAACTCCGTGTTTCTGTGTGTCTATTTCAGAACTAATTTGTAGTAACGGTAAGGTGTTAAGCTGCTTTTTGGCTTCGAAGTTATACACAGAAATGATATTGACATTTAATACACTCCTCATCACTTGGCTGTTTATAATAGCGCGTAAGTACAATGTTGAGTTGTTTTTACCTGAATGACTGACCTCCATTCTGATCTGATCTGGTCTGATCTTTTCATTCAGTCATTTGTCCATCCATTCTTCCGTCCATGCATCCAACTTTTAATTTATTTATTTATTCGTTGTCATATTATTGTTTTATTTATAAATCCATTCATTCATGAATCAATACGAAACGACTTTAATGTTTTGTCTTTTACAAATTGTATTCTAAAGCTGGCCAAGGCCATTATGAGATACATACTGATAAAAAGGCAGTTAGAGATGCCGCGTTATTTTGCATGGATCAGGACATGATGCTGGTAGATCTAGCGAATGAAACGGTTCTTAGTGCCTTGCAAGACGCGATGTCAGCGCTTGGGCTACTTGGAGAATTATTAATGGTAGGTGAGCGGATGGTAAAAAACGATGTCGTCACCTTGTCTGGTGAGATACGAACATATCGTCCATTTTCAAGTGGGGAACCAAGTGGAGACGGCGACTGCTTATTTTTATGGTAAGAACACATACATGTATTTAAGATACCCATGCATGACATATTGTTTGGTGATAAATAATGTTTTGTTTTTTCTAATTTTTTTGAAATTTGAGTTGCACGAAAACACAATAATGAACTCATAATATTAATTTCCATTTTTGCTCGAAACTTCCTTAAATTATGATCTAAACATATATTAGTAGTGTATGACAGTGTACTGAGCACTCACTGTGACAGCATTTAGTAATTATTTTGAAACATTTATCGATCTAATTTTTAATTAAACACCCACTGTCTAATTTATTCGTGCAATCATCTGAGAATTCGTTTTTTATTGTAAATAGACTGCATGTCCTTCGAATCATTGCACGTACACGCTTGTGGTTGCTGCAAAGGAGAGTGCGTAGTGCAACATGTGCAATCATAAACACCAAAAACGTAAATAAAAGCAATAGTCACACCACGCATGCGTACCATGATGAGCACTACAATAAACTCCTTGATTCTGTGTGTCTATTTCAGAACTAATTTGTAGTAATGGTAAGGTGTTAATATGCTTTTTGGCTGCGAAGTTATACACAGAAATGATATTGACGTGTTTTGTTTTTTTCAATTTTTTTGAAATTTGAGCTGCACGAAAACACAATAATGAACACATAATATTAATTTTCAATTTTGCTCGAAACTTCCTTAATTTCTGGTCTAAACATATATTAGTAGTGTGACAGCATTTAGTAATTATTTTGAAACATTATTTATCGATCTCATTTTAAATTAAACACCCACTGTCTAATTTGTTCGTGCAATCATCTGAGAATTCGTTTTTTATTGTAAATAGACTGCATGTCCTTCGAATCATTGCACGTACACGCTTGTGGTTGCTGCAAAGTTTTTTATCAACTAGGTCTAGAACAAAGCCCATGGTTACTGAGATCCAAAGGGTGTTTCGCTGCACTGTGCACTATCTTGTGTGATTCGCCGATGCACTGCATCGGATTGCATGGTACCGCTGCCATTACTGAAATACGTAGGCTGGTTACACGAATACTTTACATTCGAGAGACACGTCATTTCCCATACATGATGAACGTAACTAGTAACATAATACACTCCCATGTATTAAAACATTGAATTTCATTATGTTTGTTACGAACAGCTATGATTTTTACTTGTGTTCTTAGTTATTCTTGTGGGATTTTTAGGTGCTTTAATTGATTTCTAGGATTATTGTCAATCGATTGATTATGTACTAAGGTATCCTTTAAGGTAGAGATGCAGGTTGTACGGCACTTTGGAGTGATTTTTTTTATTTTTTGCTTTTTATTATTCAAACAGTCTTGGCTATAGACTGTTAAAATTTTGTACAATTGTGAATAGTGGAACATACTCAAAAAACGATTTTAAAATATAGATAACAGGTGCAAACATTCTCTCTTTTGATTGCTTAGCAAGATTTAGCAAGGCTGTACATAAATAATAAAAAAGAAACATGGTGAAAAAAAGAGATGACGGGATCTCCATATTATGCACTATATTTAACTTTTAACAAAACGATAATACATTTAAATTTGGAACTGTTACAGCCATTTTAATTATGAGCATTAGCAAACTTCTTACTGAGTGAATTGTTATGCAAATTAGCAATTATCTCAGCTTCTTTTTAGTGCACATCCCAGAACATTAAAAATAAATAGCTCCTAGACGCTTTGACCTCTTGTTTTGAAATTTTCACAAATGATTGACAATGTGTTTATCTTCAAAACGCCGTCGGGACATTGTTTTTGGTTGAAAACAATCGTACAGACAAGTAGTCTGGGTGTTAATTTATGCATAAACTTGAAGTAGTGAAATCTGAGCTGCCTCCCTACAAAATTAACAACTGGTAGACAGTTTTTAAGACGGCACTTTCTTCATAGTAAACAGATGTACCCATAAACCAATTTTGACAGGAAACAGAAGCATGGTTTAGAAGCTATTTTTTTTAAATCACTTTTGACCAAAAAAGCACATTTTTGTGCATATTTCAAACTACAGTGTCCATAAAAATAAAATACTAACAAAATGTTAAAATTCATACAATAAGCTTTCCGAAAACATATAGTTTTGTGGACAAGGGAGGTTATCTTGGTTTCCTAATTAGCAAATTAAAATACCTGTCAGGTAAACTGCATCTCTACCTTAAGACTGAATAATATGGCGGTTGGTGCAAGCGGGGCAGAGTGTACTCACACTTCTCAAAAAACTTCTCAAGACATCTCGTCATTTGTTTCTTCATCGATGACCCAAGAAATGAAAAACAAAAGCACCGTTATAAAAACTCATGATTGTGTTAAACTTAAGATTAAATAGTCTACAGAGTTTGCTTCTTCTGTTTCATCTTTATATCTGAGCCTAAAATTTGACAGTGAGAGCCAGCTTTCCACCAGACTATATTACAAAAAAATGACTTGATTTTTTTTATCACCAATTTTCAATATATTTTCAGGAATAACCAATTTTGTTCACACATATGCAGTATAAATTGCCTAGCTCATTAATTATGTAGGGATCAGTAGTATTTATGCAGGTTTTATAAAATTATTGTTGGTAGCTATAATAAGCTTGAGGTCAAATGCATAAACTCCAATGTCTCTTGGGTGAGTCCATACAGACAACATTTGATTATGACTCGGAATGATAATGATTTAGAATATAATTATTATACTATGTAGTGTAGTGTAGTGTACTTTAAGTGTTTTTCGTAGCTTGTTTTGTTAATTGGTATCAGTTGTTTGTTTCTGCTGCTCCATTTTCCTATCCGACATTCATAGAAAGGTCCACAGCTGGAATATAACCACGCAATGCAATTGGAGATATTCCCGATGGTCTGTTCCAGGACTTGCAAGGTCACTTTTATTTGTTGTTGCCAAACGTCGTCGACCATATCCAGACTCTTGGTTCAGAATTCCCTTTTTCCAGAACATGCTTTATAAAATAGTAGTATTGTATCATCTTATGTATTGCAGGCAAAGTGTGACTGCGCTTAACGATATGTCATGTACAATTCCAACAGTGTTCGCATGTGAACCACAAGGTAAAATGTCCTACATTGTTTTTACACATTTAACTCATTGTGACGTCACAAGAGTGCTCATGAAAGCATAAGGTTATTAACTCTTCCGGCCAATCAAACTGTGTTTTCTACTTCTTTTATGGAAACATTTGCAAAAATATCAGCTTTACTCGGGAAATATATGTATGATGATAAATGCAAAACAGGCAGCAAGTGTTCCCCTAGTTTTCATCAACTTGAAGTTCAATGACAAACAGCAATAAAATCGACATTTTTATTCATTTGTTTACTGTGACAATATTTTGTTTTATTATATTTCATATTTGTTTTGATCACCTCATTTGTGATCAATGATTCGTCTCTGTTTACTAGTGTAAAATAACTTCTTAGAAACTGACTATCATCAATATTCAGCAGTGTATGTTTGGTATATAGCCTATTTATTTAGAAATCCAAAAAGAGATTTCACTTGTGCACCAGAAACACCTGACTTTTCTTTCAAATTCCTCACGTATCATATACACACTAATTCACAAGTGCGGGGTAATATCTGATTTACAATACTTCAACCACAACTTGAGGTTGTACTGCCAAGTCATGTGCAACTTGTACACGTGTTCCTGGCTTTGTTCAAAACGTATACATACTTACAGAGATTTGAAGACCAGCACATTTTTTTTATGAATCCATCGGATTCTGACTTATGACGTCATAGTATGGTTACATGATTCCCACAGATGCTGCAATGAAGCAAATGATCAAAACATTGGATACCCTCGACTTGAACACAGTCAAGGCCAGTTTCGATTCAGCCGTATCTGCGTGCACGAACAAAGGCATGAACCTTGTCAAAGATACTAGCATCTACACACACATGAGCCTGAAGAATTTCTTGATGTTTGAAAACTTTGAATCATACGATGGGTGGATCGACTTACGTAATGTTGACGGGAATTGGGTGCACAGTGACGGACAAACGGGAAGCTACCAATGTTGGTCACTATATAACCCGGATGGATCAGGACAATGCGCTCATTTGTGGTAAGTATCTTGTCACTGTGGTGGTTTGTCATCCTTACCCTTACCATTTAAAAGGTATTTAAATTGTGTATGAAAATTATACGAGTCTGGTGTGTGATACATCTAAATGTTGTTATAGTCAGTGTAAATACGTGATGATGTGTCAGTGTACCTTCCGATGACTGTCGTAGGCTTATAATCCAATAATGTCTGTCAAAACATGTAAAACTCAGGTGCAGCCAACGTGCAATTAATTGAAATAGTCAATGTTACCAATGTTGGTCACTATATAACCCGGATGGATCAGGACAATGCACTCATTTGTGGTTATCATCCAAAATGTCTGTCAAAACATGTAAAACTCAGGTGCAGCCAACGTGCAATTAATTGAAATAGTCAATTTTCTGGGACAAAATTTATTTTATGGGCCTTTTGAAGTATGCTAATTAATATAAAGGAATGTGGGGAAATTAAAAGCTGTTCATAAGCTACCCTCCACCTGAAAACAAATGTCTTCCTCTCCTGCTGACCAAATTCATCTTTTTTTTCCCGCTCTCATTAAAAAAACAACTTTTTTGCCTACTCCCCTCCCGCCGACTTGCCCTCCTGCTGACTTAATTAATCTTTCCCCTCCCTCTCTTTAAAAATAAAATGTTTTTTCCCCTACTCTTCTCTCGTTGTGGTCGGACAGCCACTGCCGAGGTGTAACATCAACTTCGTACATTCATAGTGATTGACTGTTATGAACTCTACTTACACTGGTTGCAGTACAATGTTTGTGAATATCCCGGGTGAATATTCACAGTGACATAACCTACATTGCTGTGCCGATTGGTGGCGTAATTCATCGAGTCATTGGCTTCTATGGGCTTCTTGAATACAATAACCACTCAGAAAATCTGTTATTGATAGCACACGGCTGCCCACATTTAGCAGATGTTATGATCCCCAATGCGTTTTTTATTATACCCTGCCCTGAAGGCTGTTTTGCCCACCCTGCGATATTTTTGTTATGTAAGTATCCTACGCACTAAAAAAAGTTTCCCTGTCCTTGCATTTTTTTAGAAATCTGCCCTGCCCACTAGGGGTACTGATATTTCCCGCCCCTACAAAAAATAGAAAAAATCCCCTGTCCTCAACAAAAATCCCTTAGAACAGCTTTCCCGATGAACAGCTTCATTGGCTGCACCTGACAACTGTATGTTACATAAGTGGAAATTAGAATAAACATGTTTTAAATGTCTACGAGTTAATTGTTAACATGTAATGTGTAGGAAACAGTTTTCTTCATAAAATCCAACCCGAATCGATGCGTTATTACTAAAGCTTGTCGATAATAGTGACATCATGGGCTAGTATTTTTCATGAACCTAGTGAATAATACCGCCAATGACGCCACGTGTATCAAGCAGCTTTGTGAATAGGTAATGTCTATATGGAAAATATAGCTGCAAGCAGATATGTTCGACTTAAACCCACGTTGCAATGAATATGTCTAGGGAAATACTCACCAACAAACTAGTGAACGTTAAAAGTTGCAAATGAGCATTGTAATTGTATTGTATTTTAAAACAAGCTTGTGAATTTGCAAATTGTAAACTAATGTGGAAAATTGTAAAACTTTGGTAGAAAGTGTGTAACTAGCGTGGAAAGTTACGTGGAAAGTGGGGTGCAAAATGTTAAACTGGCATGGATAGTTGCAAAAATGATGTGAAAACCGTTGATAGTTGGAAATCACAAGTGCAAAGTATGAAACTAGCGTGGAAATTTGGGAATGAAAGGTTCGAAGTGTGAAACTAGCTATAGTATGGAGAACTTGAAAACGGAGGTGCAAAGTTTAAAACAAGCGTTGAAAGATGCCAAAGTTTATGTAGAAAGTGTGAAAACAGTGTTGAATTTTGGTCCTTACTTGGTCTATTGTTTCGGAAATTATACAAGTTTTGGTCTTGTGACCCATTGTTCTGGCAGTTGGTTTATTTCATTTTTCTTGTGCAGATTTTAAACCGGTCACACTTGTATTCATATGCAGAGTATAATTTCCACAGATAACTGTACATACATTTTAATCCGGAATTGTCTTAGCTACATGTCTAAAACACAATCATTTTGTAAACCTCTTGCATCTTGCCGTCCGTGTAAGTTTAGGCAAAGTGCAACGTCTGGGATTGACGAGATGAACAAATAAATTTTTTATCAACAATTTAAAGAATTGAAAGGATTTGAACCCATATCAACCACATTTCTGACGAGGTGTTTTAGGAAAAACATAAATTAGAAAGATCAGTTCGATGTCAAATTGTAAGATTTTTCATGAACAAGGACAACGCGAACAACACGCAGAAATAATTTATAATAAAAATGTTTGCGGTAAAAAAACAAAACAATGGCCATTCCAATGTGAAGTTGTATGCATTAAATAGACCATTTTCCGTTCACTACGAGATCCCGCGTTATGCGTGAAATCGAACGTAAAAACAGGACAAACAAAGGTCATAGCGTCGTAGTCGCATCAAACATCGCGTGGAATTCGACAAACGTGAAAGTATTTTTGGTGTATATTTCCATGCTTAATAATGTGCTATGCACATTTAATGCTGGTCAGTTTCAATGAAGTAAGAATTCAGAAGCAATATTCCTCTGTGGAAGATCGGCCGTCGATGTGAGCAGCGAAATAAAGAAATTCGGGTTTAAAATCAAATCGTTCGATTTTTGCGGAAGACGTTCGGTGCGCATCTTTCACGCAAATCGCGAGATCTCGCAGTCGAACGGAAAATCCCCTATTATTGATGCGCAAATAACAAAGCGTTAACAGCTGCGGGCGTGCAATATAAATGAGTGTCTACTTACTACAAAAAATAATGTATAACATTTCTTACTTGAAGGAACGCAGTGAGACAAGAATGGGACGATACAGAATGTAGTTATGTAGTTGAATACATATGTCAAGGAGGTACGTACACTATTTGTGAAGACGGCTGTTCTTGTTAAACAGTTCAATGTACCGCGATCTTGGCGGAGTGCCGTGCTCGACGTAGGTCTCATGTGGTCCTTGCATGCATACAACGTGTTAACTGTTTACTTGCACTGTTTGCTTACGCTACAACCATGGTGCTTTATTACATGTATGTTGTCGGAGAAATACATGCAGGAAGATAAATGATTCAGTATTCGGATCAAATCATATAAGTGGCCTTGGCAATTACAATGTACAGATTACTGATGTACAGATACATATACAAATACATTGATCTAAAAATCGTAAGGAAATATTATCTAAATGCTGGTTATAAAATCTGGTTCGCAATGCTATTGTTGTCAATGTTTTTATCAGTTTGAAAGCACAGTTTCAATCTTGCTACAAACTATAACTGCGTAGTAATGGAAAGTTGGTTGTTGTGTTAAACAGGTCGAATGCAGACAGAGTACTCACATTTTTTTCAAACAAAGCCCATACAATTTTATGTCAATGTAAATTTATTTGGTCAGATCAAATGGAATTAATATTGTATGTAAGCATATAAATGTTTTGTGAACAGTTTTGATCATTTACATGTTTAGTCTAACATTTGAACACTTATACACGCATGAAAAAGAAATCACCGAAGCCATACATTTCTGTCACGTTTTTGAGAATAAAAATAATTTAACTGTAAAACGTATTTAATTATCACAAGTTAAAAGCACGGTTGAAAAAAAAACAATCGATAGTTCATCTTAATTAATTACACAAGATTAAGCAACGTTGCAACGAACGAAGCATGTCTTGTAATAACTTTACTGTCATATGCTTAACCGATCCATCTACTGTTTAGATGAATGCCAGAACAGAGCAAGACTGTATAGTAAGAAATTAATTAATAAAACATTCTCACTATAAACTTCGTATTTCAAGCTTGTTCCATTTTATAAATACTTCGAAATCGTTAAATAATTGCAATTTGCAGTGTATTAATGCAAAACTACAAGACACTGTAACTTATGGATATAATGGGATAAATGATAAATAATTTGCATTCAACCGAAATATACATAAACGTGATTGATAATGAAAAAAATAAATTTGCACAAACAGGCAAAAATAACATTCTGTTAAGTAAATGTTAATATGTTTGAGCTCCACGTGTTTAATCGTCACTTTGTTTTGAAAATTTCATTGGTACAACATAACGCAAAGCTTTATTTGAATATCGCATTTTCTGTTAATCTTGTATAGGAAGCATACATTTTACAAAGTTGTGCAAAGTGACAATATTTGTTTTTATATCATTCGTATTAACAGATCCATGTGATGAACCCCCACTGACAGAAAGCGTCATCAAGATAGGTTATGCGCCATACAGTTATCTGGATAACGTGACGTTGGAGTGTAACTATGGATACTACAATATGACTGGAAAGGACACAGCTATGTGTCAAGGAAAACATGAACAATGGACTGAATTACCAATATGTGCTCCTGGTGAGTGGAATAACTTCAGTAAAAATAGTCGATGTACAAAAAAGTCCTCAATCGCAGCAGCAGAGACATCTACGACAGAGAACTGAGTGTCATTCACAGGATGCTGACCATATGTTTGCTCACTACACTAAAACGCCGCGGCTATAATATTCAAATAACCACGACAACACGTCGAAAACGCAAACAAATGCTGACATGATTTCACTTCATTGATGTGATTGACATATATCAGTTTTCATTTGCATAAACGAAAACATTTCAATGTAATGCGTTATCATTACGTTTCAGTCAATTGTTTTCATTCTTCCGGTATAACCCTAATAAATCAGACTCACGTTCGAATCCACCATAGCCAACCTGTTTCAATAGTTTAAAAAGCTTATTGTCTTTGATTCCAAACCTTGGCTCTTCGTCAATATATTTATTTTGTGTAAATATGTATATTTTAACAAGTGTTCTCTTTTAAACTAAGAAAGACCATTTCATCGTATTCTTTATAGTTCCATGCGACGCTCCCGTGATACCGGATCATAGCTATTTGCTGAATGACAGCACCACCATAATGCCCTTCAAGCATCTTGATGTTATATATTTTGGCTGCAATGACGGTTACTACTCGATAATGGAGGACCCAACTGTCTGTGATAATGGGATATGGACACCACAAAACACAACATACTGTTTGATCTGTGAGTATATTTGTCAGTGACAACACAACCAATTAATGAGTCTAACATTTTTCATAATCTATACGAGGTGTAAGTTCACGCACGATTCAGAATGACCCGAAACACTATTCAAAGTTGAACACTTCTCAGTATGTTGTCAGAAAACGATTGCTTTATCATTGAACAACATTATGAAGATGTTTTATCATGATTGAGCTGTTTCGCTTTGCATAATCTGTGACGCAACAAACAAAATGGCGGCGCCGGTAGTGCGTCGTTTTCAAACTATTAGGGTATATAGATTTCTTCCATACTCTTCTATATATTCATATGTTATGTGTAAAGCTCTCTTCACGTGAGGCTTCCGGTCACACTTGCTACGCTCGCTATTAATATCTAATCGAATTTAACTTACGTTTAGGTAGCTCTTAGGTTCATTAAAAAAAATATATGGTAAACTATTATTATTACATTTAATATACTTTACCATACCTCTTTACTAACCCTATGCTTCGCAGCAGCATTCTTCAAATTGGCGTATATGTGAATCTTTGTCTGATCCGTTGACTGAACAAACTATCCAAGACACAATTTGATTTTGTTTTGATTTTCTTTTCAAAAAGAATTTGAAATCATATGTGAGTAAGGTAAACGTTTTTGCATAAGACTAACACAATAGGGCAAATGTGTTCGTAGAGAATGTACTTTGCAGCTCTGTTCTATTTTGACGAAGTTTGTGTTCTGGGTACTTTTACCATGTGTTCATATGTGAGGGAGAATAATGTACATTCAACAATTATCTTTTCGGCATCATGTAAGTAAGTGTTTGAATTTGTATTTCTTACACTTTATAATTCAACAGATACATGTGATTCGCCTGTGATACCTCCTTCTAGTTACATAGTGGAAAATATCACTCTGCCCTTAAAGCATGGAGACACTATCACTATTGGGTGTGACGACGGTTTCTATCTAGTGGGCCAAGATTCATCAACATGTGCTTACGGAAATTGGGTGCCAAATAATATGGAATGCTACATTTGTAAGTAACTAATAACTATGTAACCGACCGACCAGTTTACCTTACTCAGCAGTAGATACACTTTTTATATGTATATTTCAAAATTTCAATATGTATATTTCAAAATTTCAATACGTATATTTCAAAATTCTCCAGTTGCAATGACATGGTATGGCATATCTGATGTTTTTTTTACAGATACTTGCGATGCGCCAACAGCACCAAATAATAGTCAATCGTTGGGAAGTTATGACATATTTTTGCACCAGGATGTGATATATTTTGAATGTAATGATGGGTACTATTTATCTGGAGAGAATTCTTCAACATGTGCGTATGGTGAATGGGTACCGAGCGAGTTGGAAACTTGTTCAATTTGTGAGTATTGTATAGTTATTGTCTGTCTATTGGCGAATGGGCCATTACGCTACTATCAAAATTCAAATTAAATTATTTACAATGTACATTAATTTTGCTTAAATATTTTACTTTCTCCCAGAGAGCAGAAAATTCATTGTATTTCTGAAGTTTAAAACTGTCAGTAGATTGTTGCCGCAAATGAACGGAAGAACCGAACAAATTGTTTTGACCATCACATTTGTTTTATGCACCCGTCACTGTGTCTACTGTTCCATGTTACCTGGGTACTTGTTATAGTGAATCCGTAAATGGGAGAGAATAAGACACTACTTGACGGACAAAACCAAATTACATTTCTCGTTCTAAATGAGATTCCGGCGACCATTTATGTCTAGGATCTATACTAGGGTCATACACGACGAAATACGTCGTAGTTTCCTTTCATATTATGCATTGATCAATCAATAAACATGTAACCATTTAATTTTCCCAAGACACATGTGACAGACCACCAACACCAGATAATGGCTTTTTGGTGGAGGACAACAATAAGCAAGACTTTGAACATTTGGATGTTGTACACTTTGAATGCTTCGAGGATTACTACTTAGCAGGCAATGACTCGGTGTTATGTAAATACGGAAAGTGGGCAATCGAATACATGGGACAGTGCTTGTTGGGTGAGTATTGGTATATGAGAACTGTTTAACAACTTTGCTCACAACACAGTTTGACTCCTTATAGATAGTCATTAAATACAAAGGCAAATTCACTTAGGTGATGGGTTGCCCTGAATTGTAGTCTGTCAAATAAAATAATAATATACCTATCAGACATATATAATGTTTGCATAGCACAACTGATAAGGAGTATACAATAGCTTGTCACCACTAGTGCGCGAAAGGTACATGGATCTCAAGTCATAACGCCAAAAAGTGATGTCTGACGTTTCGGGATAAGGGTGCATGTCCTGCTTCGTGTGTGATATATATGCAATTACAACTCCTTGGTCTGCACTAGACATGTGACATTAATTATATCAGTGATTATATACACTCATTATATTACATTGTCTTAGGCGAAAAACAACGTTAGTGTTAAGTCATGTCGTGTTGTGTTGTGTTGTAAAACATGACTAGGATAATACAACAATGACAATTATATAGAAAAAACATGAGCTTGTATAATGTAGATACTATGTTGCGCCACTGTTCTGGTTTATTAGTCACGCGTTCAATTTATTTGTAGTACTACGACGCCCGACGTGCCTCGTGAAGCGACAAGTACCATCAATATACAGGATATGTGTGTGTTATCATTGCTTGTCTCGTCATTGTTCATGAGTTAGTTATGGTACTTGCAAAAAGCACAAACGCTATAGTGTTCCTCGTTGTAGTCTAAGTGGAAAAGAGTATATTCTGATATGCTCCATTGTGCTCCAGTGAGATGACATTTTATGCAATATAATTACATGCCGGTAACAATGTTTTTTTTTTTTATTTCTTAGATACGCCTTCACCGGAACTACAAATAATGTAAGTTAATTACATGAACAGTATTTGTGCATGAAATTTAGTCCATTAATTTTGAAATTAATTAAAGCACGAACTCGATCAAGCATGGTTGATCATTAAATGCCGCAAATAGCAAAACAAAATCCTGGAGTGCCGGGGAAAATTCAAGCGCCAACCGTACACAATGCAGCAACTACGGTCGGGCCAATCGATATGATTAGTGTTGTACAATGTTTATCTTCTATTTATAAGTATTAACCTATCGAACATAACTCGACCCAAGTAATACAAGATACCTTGTTGAACTAAAATTTTAAGGGTGGTTGTTTGACCTAATCATAAATTGCAGGTGTTTCTCCGAGAAAGCGCCGACAAACCTGAACAGTGAATTTACATTTTGTTAGATCGATTGTAATGCCTGCACGCACACAAAAGCCGAATATTACGACTTTGGTCGCTGAGAAGTCAACATGCAAATATATATATAAATGCGCGATTTTGATTGGCTGTTGGGGTTATGTGGTATAATAATATATGTGTAATGTATTTTTTCTTAATGATAACCATGATATTAAATTTTCTATGTTATCTATTACGTAAGGTGTGTGACAAACTGTGGTGAGAAGATAAATCCATCCGTAGTTTTTACGGCATATACTGTGTGTACATCATGCATTGCACTGTATAACCTAACCTTCTCGTGGACCTTATGGAAAATGACATCAGATTTATATGTAGAAATGCCGGGTTATGAGTCATACATTACCCCGGGTAAGCGAATTCTTTATTCAGCTATTCACATGTCTGATGCTCATTTTATATGTGCTGATAGATAACAAGAAATGTTGTGAAATACATCGGTTAGTTTTATTCGTTTTGCACTCGAACCAGTATAATATGTAGTACATTCTGCCTATACAACCAACTGTCGCTCACTATCTTCAGCTCGTAATCTCCCGTGACAACGTTCAATTGACAGGGACTCATACATAAATGAAACTGTTGGCTTTATTCCGGGTATTTTATAACTATGGATGTTCCTTCCTCACTGTATAATGGCACTAGACTGGCCATAGTCGGGGCGATTTTTTTCAATCATAGTTGTAATTTTTAATTAAAACAAATATGTTCCCCACTCGCCGCGAAATCACCCCGACTGGTAACGTCCTCTGCGCCCTCTATCGACATCATAAAAACACGGTCGTTTTTTAGCGTGTAGTTTAAACCAATCAGAGGCCAGTATGATTTGCGGATTTGTTGCAAATTACACATGTCTTGCTGCTTGTCTGTGGCGACAAAACTACCTTACTAACTTTCTTTCTCGGTGTTGTCGCGGTAAAATTCGTTGTCATTTTGAAAGTGAAATAACTAAACCCCAGCACCACTACCACCATAATTCTAATTTAATCTACACTACACTACATTATAACAGTTTATCCCGTGTCAGCTACATTTTCAGTTCTAAACTACAAGATACGACTAGCAGTAGACGTGTTTCCGTGCACTAGTCCGCCATTTCCAATGTGACCCAATCTTTCACCCGCCCACTCTTGAATAATCAATGACATCACGAATAATTAATAGCAGTCAAATGCCTGCAGATGCCTCCAGTCGGGATTTCTTTCGCGGTCACGCTAGTTTTCGTGATCACGGTAAAAAGGCCAAATTGACAATTAAATATATTTTTTTTGTAAAACGAAATGAAGTCCCGACTTTGCCAGTCTATAATGTCACCTCAATCTCTATCTGGGAAAGTAATGCATGTTATTTAAGTGCGCCAAAGAGGGCGCACTTAAATAGGTGTTGGCTTAATAGAGTCTTTCGGAATAGTGGTATGACGTTGGTCGATTAAACAATCCTTAGCTGGCGAACATGATGGAGAACGTTCACAGAATAGATTTTCTGACAACGGCCGCTAACGTTTCGTTCGGTCATTCTCATATAGTCGTGAACAAGCCCGGAGTACATCACATTGCAATACCTCTATTTATTTATTTATTTGTAATATTTCGGGTATGGCAGCCAAAAACACTTTCTATTTCGATTTTGATTTTATACCACATTTTCAAATTCATTTTCGTTTTAAAGTCTATTTTCACTTTCAAATTTATTTTAAAATTGGAAAGGGAATCAAATATCCGAAAATTAATTTGAAAATGAATATTATTATAAAATTCAAATGGATTATAAAAACGAAATAAAAATTTTTTTAATGCGTCTTAATGTGAGCCACCTCGCTTGTCGTACTTCTTTACCCCATAATCACACAATTTTGTTGATTTTTGAGATTAATATTTATCATTTACAGAACTTCTTATTAAGTTTATTTTAATTTTACTTCCGCTACATTATTATCACTGATTTGTGTTTACACTAGGAGCTGAACACAAAGTATTTTGTTTACGTTTCTCAGATATCAGCTCACAAAGTATTGCCATAGAGGAAAATTATCTGCAAGCTGGTGAAATGTACATGTTAGGAGTATCAGGGGCAATCCAACAGAACGGCAAGCATAATATGACTATGTTTACATTGTTAGTGAATGAATTGCCTAGTGGTGGCAGTTGCAGCATTCAACCAACATCGGGTGAGTGTATGGAGAGTAACTGATAATACTGAAATTGTCATCTAACTGTAAAACCGTCGCTGATTTGCTAGCGCTGCTGAGCTGGAATGACACTTTTGGGTTTCAAATTGCCCCAGAAAAGTGTTCTATGTTCTTGGTGTAATTGGGTGTTCGTATTTAAGGGATTTTTCCACACAAAAACGACGAATTCGGTCGAATTTCGTTATCGGTTGGCTTAATATTCCCACAACGGATCGTATTTCTGTGAAAGATTGGCATTTATATTGTTGTTCTCATTTGTAGGAATCTGAAAAACGCGTTTCACAACTTCTCTATTATTTTGTTTTATGCCGCATTCAAGATGGCGGCCCTCATATAGTAAATATCGCATTTATTTTATTATCACGCGTGCGCCAGCTGACTGTGTATGTAATATGTTACAAATTTGCAATTATCTCGACTTTGATGTATGACATCATCTACTCATAATTTAAGTCACGGCAAGACAAACTTTGTTGACATGTATATATCATGTGTTGCTGTACATGTATTTCCCAAATTGGTTTTCTTCAATTCAGGATTATACGTCATTCCTATAAATCTCGCCCTCTACGACGAATCATTCATGTGACGTCGAAATGACGTATATGAATAACAAATATTGTAGTGATTCATTATTTAGAATATAGTGAAATATCTGATAGAATATTTTTTATTAATTGAAATCACATACATACTAATTTGCAAACTTCTCGGTTGTTCGATTTACAATGTATACTAGGTTTTGTATTGCAAACTGGTTTTGTTGTCACGTGCATCGACTGGAAAGACGAAGGAAATGCTTCAAGCATGGAGGGCGTGTCTGACCCTGCACCAGGCACCAACTCTCCTGGTTTGATAGTCGACATACGAATGCGGGATAAAGGTTCTGTGGTGCAACCTGAACTTGTTTATTCTAGTCAGCAAACTGAAAGTCCGCCATTGTATCTGCGCAGCGGAAAGGCCGAAGCCAATTATGAAGTAGACGTAGTTGTTTCTGTATTAGATTCATATGGTGGGGCCAGTCATGAAACTATACTGTCAATTCAGGTATGGGTGCTTTTCCCTATAGTCTCTCGAACCAGCATTTACGCCGAAATAGTGGTGCCAATGTGCGTGGGGTTTACAATAATAATTTTGAATTGAACTGACAGAATAAAGTATTATTCGTCAAAACAGTATTAAGTTATGAGGGTCACGAGTTGACTAAGGTTAAAGCGGGAGGGTCGTCACTTGCGCACGCGCGGGAAGTGAGTCCCAAGCGACGATAGCAACACACGCTCAAAGTGCAAAGGCTCATGGGTAGACGCTTGTTTGTAAACCATGACACGCTATGACCATCTGACGCATGCGCAGGTGACGACTCCCCTGCTTTAAAGTAACCGACCTTATATAATATGCTCCGAGACAAAAAAATTAAGTGAAAAAAACAAACAGATAACGTTTATAAAGTGCAATCATAAAGGACTCATAACGTGAATTAGATTCGTATAAATTATTTATATACCGTGGTTAAAGTCCATAATTAGTGATCATATCTCCCAGCATGCTTATTTGAGTTTGATTAATACACCATTTTTGTAAATTGTGCCCTCTTGTGAGAAAGTGCGTCCGTGACTTCGAAGATTATAACGGTGAATGAAGGCATTGTCGTTCACTGCGTGTGAAAGTGTATTCGTTTGGCACCTAGCACTGTGACATAATAAAATCTCTCAAAAACATGGTCTTCGTTGATGGACGACTACAGATAAAAACGATATCGACGCTTTGAGCGGGTTTCCGTTCACGTCACTTAATATAGAAATTTACTTATGTGTGTTGATGTCCGTTGTCATAATTATCAACGTATTTGTAAAATGAAGTATACATTTACATTTTGAAAACTATTAATATAATGATCCGCTTTGCCTTTTTCAATCAAGGTCATGGAAGGAAACCTCGAAGATATCATTGTAGATGTGATGGCACATATTGAAACAGGTGGAGGTGTGTTTGGTCAGCTGAAAACACAAGATCCATTACTTGCAGTCAGTTATCTGGGCACGGTGGCTTCTTATTTTGAATTTGAATCTGTGAGTTATTATATATTTTACTATGATCCAGTGTTGTGCGATATGCATTCGATATAACAGTTAGTGTACTTTCGATTTTTAGTGTAATTTTTAAATTCCAATTTTGAGTTTTGTGATGTTAATATAATTGTCAAATGATATCTCTTTTTGGCAAAACTAGTTTTATTGTAAAGGTTGGGAAAGGTTGTATAATTTGTGGTACAAACTTTTGGATTTAGAAGTCATTCATGTTGCCACATCGAAGTTTTACTGTTAACAATGTACATTTCATCACCGTAGAATTCTACAGACGATTATTCGAGAGGAGATGAACAAGATATAGCCACTGTGCAGCAGGTAATTAATAATTAAACATATAAAGAAATATTTTGGACAAACTGTGTAATCATAACTTACGAACAACATATTTTTCCTTCCAATCCGTGACTTGAAAACCCTTAGCGATTGAAATGTGTATTTAGATTGAGATCTCTGCAGTTCAGACTGGTCAGTGTCATTTTCTGACATTTCAACATACAGACTGTTTGGTAAATAATATTACTTAAAAATACCTTTTTATATTTAAATCCAGTCTGTTGCCATTCTATCTTACACATATGCTACAAATATACATTTTTTGCAAAGTGTTAGCTCTGCTGTTGAGTCAACACTGGTCCATTGTCTTCAACATTAAATTTTCGACGTATTCGTAAAAAAACTACAAAGCCAAATACTTTGATACTTCTCTATTTTTGATGAATATTTTTTTGTCATTTCTGGTAAAAAGTGCTAATTTCAACTTTTTCTTGAAAATGGCTAGCCCAATTTCTTTGATATTTTATATGTAACTCCACATGTGAATTGGTCAGATTACAAATGGTCATAAGTTAAGGTCACTGTATACAAGCATGCAATTTCGCAAACAAACTCCAAGGTCAAAATGGCTAATATTATTAAACTCCAGACACATTTAACCCATGTGACATGGTTAAATTTTGAAGTCATCGTCACGCCATATCGGTCATTACTAAATTATGGCTCTGGTGGTTTATAAAGATGCTGATACTGCCGCATTAATCTGACGTTGGTTGGGGTCTTGGTGTGGTATGTTCGTTAGTGGATATGTTCTATGTATACATCACGTTTATTTATTT